CTATCTGCCTTTCTAGGTAAAGGTGGTTAAAGTATATGTTACGTTTAGGGTGTAGCATAAATAGAGACTGTCACTTTGGTCATTCAGGGCCTCCTGATAGCCCAACCCCCAGCAAGGTATACTCACCTTTCCAGTGCTCCTTTATCACCTTCCTGCTCAATCAAAGCCATTAATGCATAATGGAGCAAAGGGCCTACCTTCCCCATGTGAAAGTGCTCCAGATTTAGTGGCCAGTTGTGAGGACTCTACATAACTCTAATAACAGTGATAGGACTAGTTCTATGTTCAAATACAGATCTATGGACTTGATGATCACATCCTCCTTGAGGAACCACAATATGTCTCATATTTCATAGAATTTCAACAGCCCATTTTAGCACAAAAAAACTGGAAGAAAAAAAAAAAAGATTGCCAAAATCTCTTCAACATACTGTATATAGAATTCTTGTAAACAAAAGTGGTGTTTCACTTTATATGCAGGTACTATAATGCAGTTCCCATCTCCTTAGACTGCTCACCCGCTGGTCATCCAGAAATGTCACAGAGAAACATTTCCTGTAGGAGTATATTTAAACCCTGCTGTTCTAACTCGTTTTTGGTTTTTGGTTTCCCGTTGTGCCTTAAATTAAATCACCAAAAACCGTATGAACTCACACATGTGTACAATTGGTATGCAGATTCATCACACAAACACATTGGGAAGCTTGGTGCCCGCTAACAATTCACAGGAACAGGAAAGAGTGATTGAAATAGAACAAAACATGTCTATGGTTCCTCATGCTGGAGTTGGTTAGATCTCTGGAGTATATTCTATTGCATCTGTTTCTGAAGGTAGAAAAGCATCTAATGTGCCAAACACCCAGAATAATTTGCTGCCCAGGCCTGCCCTACATCAATATATTTGGGAGTCAGATGGGGACATAATATGCTTGTATGTGTCCCCAATATTGATGTCTATGTCATGCCGTGGAGAAGGATTGGCCACACACAGTTCAGGAATTTTTTTGTAATTTAAACAATAACAAAAGGTACAAGTTCTACTTTTGATTGTAATGTTAAAGCTGACCTCTGAACTCAAGGCAGATATAAAACACAATTTAATCCAATGATGTATTCACTAAAATAACATTCATTGTACTTCTACATAGAGCTAGCATAAGTAGCTGAATGTGTCTAGATATCAGTTTCCTGTAATGGATTGCACAGCAGTACCCGGTGTGGGATGGGGCAGGGCAGTACTGTTAATCAATAAGAGCTCTAGTGCTTTACACACTAGTTTTAGTCTACAGTGAAAGTGCTTACAGGGGGAGAAAGCAGAGTTATGACCTCATCAGTGAGCTTTTCTTTTACTGTCCAATTATAGGCTTGGAGCAGGAAGGTGACAAAGCTGCATTGCCTAAAGCAACATAAAAAACACTGTTGACTCCCCCACCCCAAAGCAATCTATAGCCCTGTTTTTTTTTAATGACAGTTCTAATAATACTTATTTTAATCTGTGATCGCCTAGTCTTCTGCCCCACTGGTTTTAGTTGTGACAACCAGTCCGTTGAAGATGCTCTGTATGCCGGTGTCTGACTGGTCTTGATGCTGACCATCTCATGGATGCTTGCATCATCAGCATAGCACATGGCCACTCCTAGGGCACAGGCTGTGACAGGACACGGGTTAAGGTATTAGGGGTGGTAAAACCTCTATTTTTAATAAAAGAGATATAGAGTGGAACGGAGGACAAACAACTGTAGTGGGTTTTTTTTATGTGGATGTACCTCAGCTATAACTGCAACAGAAGCAGAAAGTGAGTTTACTACAACCGGGTTATGCTTTATGGCATGCCGGGGTCACAAGATTGACTGAACACAATAACAAATCCTTTGGCAGGTGAAATAGTTTACACCCAGCTGTGAATATAGCTGCTGGTCTGGAGTTCACAGAATAGCTAAATGCACCAAGCTGCAATTGCATCATTGACAACATCCTATATAGCAAAATAAATAAGGTAAAAGAGGAAGGTTACGTTGTGTTCTGTGTACAGTAGACAGGAAGGAAATTGCAAATCATTGATGTAACCCAGTAAAGGGGGAACATTTGGGTGCACTGTGTAGACTTTATGAAATTTAATTTAAAATCGATTTACTTTGTTTAAATATTATAACAATGGAATCATGTCAGCCAATTAAGTTGCCATAAGTTGTTTTGGTAAGAAAATAAAAAAATGTTAATAACAAAAATAAAAATTTGCCAGATAGAAAAGGAAAAAGGAAGCATCAAATGAGAGAATAGAGGAAGACAAAAGAAAAAGGAGAGGTGAGGAGGGGGATTGCTCAAGCAAAAGTCCCACCCTAAATTAAGCAAACCAGAAAAAAAGCCATCATTCCTTTATGGTGTCATTAAACCATATATATTGGCAAATCTTTTTGGGATAGAGTAGGAAATCCCGTTAGTTTATTTGTTGCTTTTTGTATCATGTCTTAGTTTCCCCCTCACTTTTCCCCCGTCTTGAAGACACAACAGGAAGCAAGAAGAAATTTCTACATACTAAAGGATAAATTATCTCTTAGTGGCCTCAATGGAAGATTCCTCCTTCAGCTTGGCCATACACCAGTAGAATTTCGTTTGAGAAAATGTGTTGTCAAAATGTTCATTTTACTTTCCAATAGTTGATCGGTTCAAATTGATGATCAATTTTGCCCGCAGTGACAAAAATGGAGCAGAATGGAACATTTTTCTTGAACGAACAAAATTCCAACACTGAATGTTGTTTTCATTCGGGAAACTCCACTTATTCCAAAATTGAATGTTAAGTCAAAATAAAAATAAAACAAAATTTTGGACAGCATTTGTGAAGTCTCTGATGGCATTATCGAATCGTCTGGAAAGATCTTTCCTACGAACGTTCCGAAATCTCCCAGTGTATGGCCAGCTTTACATCTTGTTCTAGTGACAACTCTAAATTTTTGGATTTCTCATCACTCTCTGTCTCAGTGACAATGGTCTTCAAGACAAATACAGAGGTTAGACCTCCCCAGCAAGGACCTAGACCACAATGTTTAAACTATGTATACACTTTTCTAGAAAATCTGACTACTCAAGGAGAGTCAATTCCCTTGTACAGTCCCCTCCCTTCTTGGACTTCATAGGCTTCTCCTCTTAAAGTGTCTAATTACTATTTATGATGGGAAGCTTTTATAGGTAAATAACACACATCAAATACATTAAATAGTCATATAAACTTATGGGGGAATTGTTGTTAAAATGAACTCTCTGATGACAGGGTCTCTTCAAGGGCAAGTCATGTTAACTATTTTTAAAGTGGACCTCCAGCCAAAATGATTAGTATTGATTAGAATGAGGTAGGGTTAGAAATGTTGTCAGGTTTTATGTGCCCATCAGGGATATCTATTGTTTTCTTGCCCGCTGACCACACAAGAAGTTAATAGAATCAACGCAACTGGGATCCACACAATAATAAACACCCAACAGAGTAGAGTCAGAGACAAGTCCTCATGTGCATACTTGTTTCAGGAATAGCAAAGTATTGAAGCAAGTTGATCAGTATGAGAGCCAGGCAACTAGAATGCTCAGAAGCAGAAATCAGCAATGATTGTCTCCATGTTTCCTTAATGAAAGGTTTGCTTTAGTAAAGCATACGTTTAAAACTATGAGAAGGGTGAAAAACACAGGCTCCATGGTAAGAACATTATTTGGCCTATTGATGAAGAGTTATGGGAAGAAGTCCAGGAACTCCCCTGGCTGTATCCCCAGCAGCGAACAATCGTCTTACTCAACTGTTTATAATTCACCAAGCCTATGTTACTCCCGTCCGCTCCACAGAGCCGGTGTGCCAGACTCACCCTTATGATCCAGATGCCACACCATGAGAACTGCCTTCTGACACCTAATACGTAATTGCCACAAACTGACCGATGTACTCAATGTTATTACTGTTCCTCAAGTTCAACTCCAGTCAGATGCCGCCCTCGGTATTATTGGAGCTACAGGAATGGAACAATTGCTACAACACTAAAAAATATTTTCTTACTGTTAACTGCATCTCCTACCAAGCACCAAGTAAAATATTCTGGATTTAATATGGAAAGTGCATTGTGCGGTCAGCTGTACCTTTATATAACCATTCACTAGACTCTCCACCCAGAGTTAAATTGTGCTAACTCCCCATACCCAACTGTCTATTTACCTTAGTTATAGAGCCGTGGCCTTCTCAGGTATTCACAGCCTAGTATGATGAAAATGACTTCATTGCTGGCCACATCGGCCTCATAGGCTTGAATGAGTCTGTGTATCAAGTATCTCCATTCTCAGTATAAAGCCCCTATTCCAATCCAAAAGGTACACATATAAGGTAAGCAAAGCACAGATTTGCTTTAAAGTGTAGGTAAAATAAAATAAAAATATGCAGTACATCTCTGCAATACATGCACATTGCCCAGAAAAATACCTGCTAATCTGCCAAAAATGCACTCGGCATCTATGTTCTGCTGTTGGGTGACAACACACAGATTTATTGTGGACTGAGTGGTATCAGCCCTGCTCAGTGTCCTCTGTTAAGCTACTCAACCACATCCACTTTTATATGTCTACAACATAAAGGCTAATCATTTTGTAGTTCAAGAAAGTACTAGGAGGGTTCTTTGAGATAACACAGTAAGTGATGAAAGGACACAGGACAGCTCTTAATTTCTAACAAGAGCAATAGGTTTTCTTTCACTTATCAGATATAACAAAATGCTCCCAATGGTATATTGAACAGACCGGAGGGGAGCAAATAAGAAATGCTAATTGTTACTGTTTTACGTACAGCTTAAGGGCTTTATGTAACACAGTTGGAGGAATGCTATGTAACAGTTTGGTTTACTATACAACTCTCCTTCCAAAGATTAAGTCATGCTCATCTTGACTTCACACTCATTATGCTGACACATTTTTGATGTAATAAAACTACAAAAATGTTGACATGATTTCTCCTCCTTTATATTTTATAGACCCAGAATCATTCCTGGTGTACAGTCCTGATGCTGAAGGATGTCTGGAAGCTCAGGAAGACACGGTTCAACTGACAAGACCGTGCCAGTCCAACTCACCGGCACAGCAATGGCTTTGGGTGTCCCGCCGCCGGCTCTTCAATTTGGGCACTCTAAGGTGTCTGTTGGTACCGTCTGCATCCAACAGCACATCCACTGCCATCTCCACCTATCAATGTGATGAGAACTTTTACTTTATCCGCCGCTGTGAGACTTTGCTGGAGCAGCTGACTGCTGCGCTACTTCCGCGGACCTCCAATGCCACTGGATTGCAGCAACCGCCTGCCAAAACGTCCGGACAGTGGTTGCTATTTGGAACAGACAAAAGTATCTGTTCCTCCGTGTTTCAGGGTAAGGATGATTTAATACCAGAATGGCCCAAATACCAATTTTAGTTGAAAAATTAGCACTCAAATAAGGCAACTTCTTTCACTTTTATATTTTTTTTTAAGGCCCAAACCTCACTTTGTTTTTGCTTATTGGTCTAAGGGTGGCCATACATCGGGGAAAATTACTATTCAGCATTGAATGATCAGACCTTTGTCTTTTGTTCTCCCTACACGCACATACACCATTAAGTTAGGAGATCTCATTGTTACTGCCTATGAGGGAGTAATCAGGTCACTGGGCTATCTTTATCCGCCTCTGCCTTATGGAGAGGGATAAATAGAGTAGCAGACACATATTTCTAGGTCTCCCAAGAGACTTTTTCTGAGGACGGTATTGCCCTGAGACAATCACTTCCCCTTTATAAGGGAATCAATTACCAACAAAAGGTACTGAAACCATTAATTTTACTTGACAATATAGCTGCACGTACTATGTTAACTATTTGTTGATAATCACCTTATTTGTGCGGTGCATTTGTATTTGACATTGTTGTTTTTGCTTTGGTTCCAAAATATTGGGTATGCTCATTATTTGCTTCAATCATTGGTAGTTAAGCACATTTCATTGCTGATAGAGTATGCAATTGGCACTGACTATTATACTGCAGGATATTTTGAGTGTCAGAGGAATTTTCCAAACTGGTTGGTTAGCTGGCTCTCACAGCTGTCCACTCAGCACTGATTTTCCATATATGCATGGTTACTCACAAATTCAATTAAATGTGGGCTTGAGTAATCTAGTGGCAAGATGTCCCCATCAAATCTCTATTCAGACTTCCTGCCACTGCCATATTAAAGTGCCTGTGTCTTGCTCTCCTGATTGATACTTCATAATATGGGCAACACAGTGGTTTAGTAGTTAGTACTTCAGAACTGGTGGTTCGCAGTTTGAATTCTGGCCAGGACACTATCTACATGGAGATTGCATGTTCTCCCTGTGCTTACATGGGTTTCCTCCCACAGTCCAAAGGTATGCATGTAGGTTAAATGGCTGCTGCCTAAACCAGCTCTAGTATGTATGTGAGACAGGGACCTTAGATTGTAAGCTCCTTGAGGACAGGGACTGATGTAAAATGCTGCATCATTTTTGGGACTATATAAATGCCTGTAATAAATAAATGATATTAAAATAAACAGTAACTGGGAAGCCCAGCAGCAAAATTAGAGGCATCAAACCAGCAGATGGGATCAACTCACCAGTGACTTCCCATTACTGAAATATCCATTTTGGTTGAACTTGAAAGCCTAATAATTTTGAATGATAGATCTTCTCCATGTATTTGAAAATAGTTTTCTGCTTTTAGTTACTCCACTCCATCATAACTCTATCCCGGCCTTTCTCCTATTCAGATATTTACACTATACAAGGGAACTCCAATGGACGGCCCTGTGCTATACCTTTCAAGTACGACAACCAGTGGTTTTATGGCTGCACAAGCACGGGGCGAGAGGATGGCCATCTCTGGTGTGCAACCACTGTTGACTATGGCAAAGATGAAAAGTGGGGTTTCTGCCCTGTAAAAAGTAAGAATAATATATTTTAAATGTGTATCCGTGGTTTGCAGCATACTGTTTATATGCATCTGGGTGAATTTAACTTTGAACGGCAATGCACTGCCATACACATCTTGAGTTATCATGCATTGTGGTAACACTTGTTATATCATTCATCATGTATAAATGAGCCCTTAAAAGGAACATTAGTTTTGAAATGACATTAACATGATAAAAATTACATTTTTGCAATCAGATCACATCTCCTATAATTAAGAAATTGTAAAATATTTGACATCTTTGTCTGTTTGTCAGCCTATAATATGAAATCAGAACAGGGTATGTTTTGGAGCAGTGTACTAAATAAAAGCCTCACAGATACTTAAGAAAAAGATGTAAAATGTATTTTCGTTGGCAATTTAACCATTGAATTATTGTCACGTTAATGAGTGCATAATGAAGTTTTTAAATTTGGTCTGAACATCTATCACAGACATTTTCCAATATAACAGAAAATCTCTGTGTGCAATAACCTGCACTTTCAAAGTTTACAAATATTTGTTTCTTGGGGTTTACCTCCATGGCCTTGTTGCCAGAACCAACTGGTCAAGCAGCTTGATTAAGCATGGCTACATGTAGACTCCTTATAACAGTATCCATCTTGTTTTACTATACTATGTTCCAGGTGCGGACTGTGAGACTTTCTGGGACAAGGATCCACTTACCCACAGCTGCTACCAGTTTAATTTCCAGTCGGCACTTTCATGGGGCGAGGCTTGGACCAGTTGCCTTCAGCAAGATGCTAATCTCCTCAGTATCAATGAGATACACGAGCAAACATACATAAATGGTAAAATCAATGACTTGTGATGTTTTTGAAAGTACAAAACTGCTAATAAGACAAACTGAAAGAAACTAAGAAACTGAAATCTCATGTGGTGCTGAACTTTGGCAATGGGTTTTTAATACATCATATGTCTCCGGGTGAATAGGGTTGTTTTATCACCATGCTATTGATGATCAAGGTATGAATGACTTCTAGCACTTATTTATTTTCTGTTCCTTCCCTAACAGGGCTCCTGACTGGATACAGTTCCACTTTATGGATAGGACTAAATGATCTTAACGTTAATGGTGGCTGGCAGTGGTCAGACGGCTCTCCATTAAAATACCTGAACTGGGAAAATGGTATGTAAAGGACAGATGACGCAATGGCATTGTTTTTATTTATAATATTCATTTACAGAGCACTGATACATTCCATAGAGCTTTAGAGAGTGAACAGACTATTCACATCAGTGGCTGTCCTGGAAGAGCTTACAATTTATGTCTCTGCCACAATCATGCACACCTACCTGTTAAGAAAAATATGAATAGACGCAAGTTAGCCTATCAGTAAGCTGTAGTAGCAAATTGTGCCAACATTATGCAACAGAGTAAACTCCATGTAATCTTTTTACAAGGTATATACTATCTTCATAAGCAACAATACAATGTAAATATGATAGAGCACACACTGAATGTCAAGATTCCTGTGATAGATGCTTGATTATGAACACAAAGACCTTTCACCTGAAATCCCACTTTCCCTTAGTTACTTGCTCCATATCCCCCCTATACAATTACTAGCTGAAAAGTTATTAAAAAGTATAAATTGTGCAGAATACTAAAATACTCAAAGCAGACTCTGACTTCTGGTCCTTTAGGCACCAGTGACGTCAGCATAGACTGCCTGCAATCTTTTGGGAAATTGTCACTACACCCAATGAGCTGTGTTGCCAAAAGATTCTAATGGTGCCAGCTCTCCTTATGCACATGTGCAATATCTGGAGTGTGAGTCATTGGTGGACTGGCTAAAGGATCCAAGAAGAGGTATATGACTTCCAATGTGGAAAAAAAAAGATGGGCATGAAGAAGAGGCGCAACCAAAGTAAAAAACTTGGGCAGTGGAACACAAAGAGACCACGGGTGCCTAGGGAGTATTAGTTTATTAATATCTAAAAGTTCAGTGCAGTAAGTGCAAGGTTCTTATTAATACAGGCCTGGTATGGATAAATTACGTTGACAGAACCATGGAATGAAAGGAAACATAATTTCAGTAGCAGTTATACCTTGGCAAAGTATGTAGGCAGGTCTGGTGCTATCAAAGAGCCATAACATGCCAGGATTATGGACAGGCCTTTGGCCCTTGTCTAGTTTACCAATATAATAAGCACAACCCTCAGGTGGCTGATCATGACTTAATGATATATACTTCACATTTTTCTCTTTACTGTGTTCATCACGTTTCCCTTTCCTTTTCCGTTGTATCCTAGATCAGCCGAGCAATTCAGAAGAAGAAAACTGTGCGGTTATTCGGACGGAGTCCTTGGGTGCCTGGCAAAACCGTAACTGCTATAATGCCCTACCTTACGTATGTAAGAAAAGCTCCAAAAGAAGTCTTCCTATCGTAGGTGAGTCTGCGGCACAGTTGCAAGTTTGCAACTGTGTCTGTTAAGCTTGGTTGGTCATAAATTACATTACTAAAGTTTGTAAACTAATGGGCCATAATTAACTTCATCCACTAAAGAGACACTTTAATGGGTCTTTGTATATTCTAGGCAGCTCAAGCTAGCAGTGTTGGCTGTCCAATATGTCTTAAGTACATTTTTGGCTCCAACAAATGATTTTATCAAACCTCTTGTAACGCCTCGCCTTCTGTTTTCAACAGAACCCATCGAACCAGATGTGGTTGTGCAGTGCGATCCTGGATGGCAGAGTTATGGCATTAACTGCTACCGTTTAAACAATGAGAAGAGGAGCTGGCAAGAGGCTAGAAAAACGTGTGTGCGGAGTGAGGGGAACCTTGCCAGCATTCAAAGCCTGCTGGAGCTAGAATTCATTACCAAGCAGATTAAACAAGGTGAGTTCTTTATGTCTAAGAGGAACCGTCCTTAGCCACATGCGTACCAGGGAAGGCTGAAAGATAGCTCTTTGCCCCTTGGGCCATACGTGTTTCTTCTTCTGAGGGCACGTGAGGAAACTAAAAAGACCTCCAATGGTACAACAAAACAACACATGTTCACTAAACATTGTATCTACACAGCTGTTTATTGATGACACAAGTCTACATAAACAGTCATTCCACAAATGTATTTTTTACTTTTCTAAAAAAAAACAAAAAACACTTGTAGATGTGACTGTCATGGAGGAGTATGAAACCACTGAAGCAATGTGACAGGATGGAACTGTGTTGGTCCCGTTATTCCCTGCTATAATAGATGTGAGGTTGTTTTATCATTGGAAGACCCAGTTCTGGTTTTGCCTTTACCAGAAGAAGCCATCCCTCTCCGATACATTTTGGTGTACTGGAGTGAACCAATCATGGTAACCTTTTCCTGTCTCTGGTGCAGCTCTGTGCTAAAGATCAACAGGTTATCTTGACAGGCCTGTGCTTGTTCTGGAAGAGTACAGTCCTATGGTGTTCTACATTTTAAGGTGCCCAAAGACATGATATGACCATCTCCTAATATGGCTATTTTGGATCAGATGAAGCGGCAATCAGTTTTCTTAGGGACAGTGCCAGACATCCCCAAATAATCTTTCTGGGAAGTACAAAGCAATTTTGATGGGTTGCCCTTGCTTGATCACTGATTTTTTTACCTGAAATAAGCCAATGCTGAGTCTGCACACTGCTTCCCTCTACTTTATTGCTCTAAACAGAAGCTCTGCTGAGACCAAAGCATTTTTATTTACAGCATATGATAGACTCAAAAGCATTCTTGAAGCTTCAGAGACACATAGCCTGATAATTTGGATGACTGGGAGGCATGCTTTAAGCAAACTTTAAAGTACCTTAGATGCTACCTGAAGCTTGGTTAATCATGGGCATTTGTATACACATCTGACCGTTCAATAATGATGATGGGCAACCTTTGAGAGTGCAGTTTCCATCCTTGGCTGACTGCTAAGAAAAATAGTTAAAAAGGCTACCTATATATGTTAAGTCCATGCTTACCTGTATTTGAAAGTGGCAATAGAGGTCAATCATCGTGCAGCACTACAAAGTAGCATATATACAGTTTATACCATATATGTATCAGGCTAATACATGTGTTGATAATTTTATTGCAAAATTTAAAATAGGAAAAATCACATTCACATATGTCAAAGATTTAAGATTGCCTTTAGTACGCGGCTGTAAACAAAGCCAGTTTAGTTCCTGTCTAATCAGTTCTGCAGATTGTCGAACACAAACAGTCTGGCCGGACTGTAGCTATAGCCTCACTGGGGCACTCTCTGTCATCTGTTCTTTGCATTGGAAAAGTGCGGACTCTACATTCTGCATGCTGGAATTTTAGAAACAGTGGCCAGCCTGGAGGGGACGAGCAACAGTTTCATGAAACTATCATGTTGCCCATTTGAAAGTTTATTCTTTAGAAAGTATTCATTTACACTTTGTAGTCATTTTTTTTAGCAATCAACTACGGTACTTCAAAAGCAAAAAAAAGTATCTGTTCAAGGGAAACGGTTATTTTAAAAATTAATTTATTTAATTGTTTTAAAAAGTTCATAAATAATTTACAAATATTGTAATAACTTGTATAAAATCTTTATTTTACAAATAATAATTCAATTTATTACAGGATGCATCCATGACACCGTTGCGGAGCATCCATCTATACCTGCCAGCAGCCTCTGTTTCTTTAAGTTAGGCTGTTGCTGTTTCTACTTGCCAGCTGAGACATGTTTAGAGTTCCCTCTACTGTCTGCAAGTGTTAAATATGAGATTTTCATATTAAATTTTTCATGATTGCCTGATGTAAAGGTTAAAAAATTAAATTATATCATATACTGTATATTTAAAAGAAAATCACATTTTCCTTGACTGGCCATAGGCTTAAGAGGGAAGGCAGGCAGTGGAAGTGATAAGTACTGCGGAATTCTTATTACACCTGTATGGTTGGCTTTACTGAGCATACAGGTTTATTTGAATGGTGACGAAAGAATATGGAAAGTAGCTGTTGGCTCATCAGGGGAAACAATACTGATCAGGACACACTTTTCTGATGTGTCTGACAGCTCATTACCCCCAACAGCAGGGAATCTGACAAAACATGAGATTGTTTTCCATCCCAGTTGGCTCTCATCTCATGTCTGTGGGTACCTTCAGTTGTAGATCAGGATTGCTTTAATGATGACATAGACACTGTATGATGACATATATAGAAAAGAGGCCCATCTTTTTTTTTACTATGGCTGTCACACATGTTCAATATCAGCAGCCAATGCCACAACACAAGTAAAATTAATGCCGTTGCTTTCTGGGAAGCCTTGCACTTGTGTTTAACTTGCCATTAGTTTGAGTATTTACAACCCATTGCATATTTAGCAGGCCATTCACAGTGTTTGTGGACAGGATAGTGGAGCTTTGAACCTAGGAAGATTGCTCCTACATTTACTGCATTCTCCTCAGCTTTCGAAGACCTTGCCTTACATTCAAGATTTGTGCAAAATAATATTTATATGTCTACAGATGTGGAAGAGTTGTGGATTGGGCTCAATGACATCAAGCATCAGATGAGCTTTGAATGGTCAGATGGGAGTGCTGTTACCTTTACGTCTTGGCATCCTTTTGAGCCCAACAACTTTAGGGACAGCATGGAAGATTGTGTGACTATATGGGGACCGGTGAGTCATGAGCAATCAGCTTTTATCAGAGTGTTTCATCAATGCGCAATGCTTTCTGGTTGTGTAATAGGGGTTACAGCAGTGGGAGCTTATTGTTGATAAAACTGACAATGATCTATAATAACTCATCTCATGCATGCATCCTTTTTTCAATCAAGTTAAAGAAGTAGTCTTTCCAAAAATGCCTTGTAAGAAGCTCATGTCTTAGATACTCCAAAAGTTATATCTCCCATAAATATTTCCTGACTCTGTTCCTGTCCACCTGGGAGGTTTGGATGGTACCATCCACCTTTGTGTGTTTCAGATTCTCCTTTTAAATTTCACACATTTTTAAATAAATGAAATATCCATCAGGGAAAGTGGGAGCCACTCGTAATGGGTACAGCAGGTGTGAAGACCCAGGATCTAAATTCAGCTTACTTCCTTATTTTAGGTGTCCCCTAATGGGTTCCCCAAAACAAACAGGCTACCCTTGGACATTTTTTGTGTTCTATCAGCACTCAGTCTTTTCACCAAGCAGCAGGTTCTTATAGCAGAGAGAATGAGGGAGCCTTGTGTATCAGTCAGTTCCCACATATAGTGGCCTGTGAACCGCTGAGATACATATTGAGATCTGGTAATCAGGTAAAATGTGTAATCTGGTAAAATTAATGGAGGATTTATTTCACCCAAAGCTCAACAACGCCCCCGGGTTCCAGAACTCAAAAGAGAAACCGGATGTGGAGAAAGCAGAAAGTTTATTTTCTCCAGTTTCTCCACATCAGACACAAACCCTGGAGCCCCTCACCAAGTGTAGGTGAGAATCCTAGGTAACCCATATAAACCGCATATACAAATATATATATATCTCAAAGCCTAACTAACATAGTCCGCTAATTATATATTCTGACTACTGCACATCAATGCCCTTTGCGCAGCCTTCTTATAGGAAGTTTGGACTTCTGGAAATATCAGCTCCCTGGTTGCCATGCTGATCCAGTGTCTTCAATGCTGTCTGAGTAACTGACCTGGAACAAGTAAACAAGTTAGGAAGAATTACTTATTCCAGGACATCATCTCAGAAATGATTACAGCCAGTGATAGCCTGGCAACCTGCATTTTCAGAAGGATGTCTGCAATGACCATATTTCCCTCAGTTCAGATTTCCTTTAAATAATCTCATGGACACTAGATATTTAAATAAAATGGAGCTACTGCTTAAGAAGTGTTATGTTTTATAGTGTTTTGTCTGGTTTTTTTTATTTAATGCGATCTGTTCTTTATAGGAGGGAAAATGGAATGACAGTCCATGCAACCAGACCTTGCCATCAATCTGTAAGAAGCCTGGATTAGTCACACAAGGGAGCTCTGAAGACAATAATGGGTGCCAAAAGGTACTGGCAGGGTATGCCGGGATTTGTAGTTCCTTAATAACTGTTTAGCTGCAGTGTCATGTGCATCATGTTGCTATACCCTGTATGTAGAAGGAGTTAAAGTTGAATGAAAACATTTATTTTTTCCTCTAACAATTATCCTGTCACTTAGAGGCATCATAAAAGGGACTGTTGGCTAGTCTGAGGCGCAATCGGGAAATGAGCACACCTTTTGAGTAAATAGTGTCTCAAAATGACTCAGTCTTTACTTGCTATACTATATATTGTGATAGTGTTTCATATAGCATATGATGATATTTTGGGTCTCTCTGGCAGGTCCTGGTGTTATTTGCCATTGACTCCATGCTTAGCAATGAACTCACCTTAACACTGCACATAACTTTTCAATGTGTGTTCCGCCAGTCAACCAGCACAGTCTTGATGTGTATTGATATTGGTTTCCTAAAGGAGGAACTGTTGTCTTTCTGGAAGGCACCCTCCAACTCTGAGCCCAGAATTGCTAAGTACAGAATAAGTTAGCCGCAGACCCAGTGGAAAATTCCAGTGTGAACCAGCCCCAATGTTTTCTGTGCTTTCCATGTTCTCTATTCTCAAGGGTAACCCAAACAGCATCCCTGTTTAAATTTCCTCCCATATAACCAACCTTTGTCACCTAGTAACCAACATCCACCCACCCAGTACATAAATAGAGTTTGAACAGCTTCCTTGATGTGCTCCTACAACTTAATTAAGGTGGAATCAGACAGAAAATAAATGGTTGTTTGTGAACACAGCAAACATGAAAACAAGCTTAATAGGCAAAATCTGCCTCTAAGCACCAACTGATGTGAGATGTAGACAGTTGTCACCATCTAGTGGAAATCACTGGCAGGACACAATGCACTGGAAGAGCAAAATGTTTTTTATGGTCTCAATACACCTGCAAACTAATGACCATTTGTTTTATTTTATTTTGGTATAATTATATATATTGTACTTTGAACAATATTCCTAACTTCCCTAGGGCTGGAGTTGGCACAGTCCCTCTTGCTACTGGTTGAGTGACGACCAAATGACGTACAATGAAGCTATCAAGTCATGTTCTGACCGCAGCGCTAGACTGGTCAATGTGCAGAACAGGTAGGTATCTCCAAAAGTAGATATGAACTTGTCACCCTATGAAATTACTTGCTATTACGTTTGAAGTCTGCATAATGACATAATTATCATAAATTGGTTTATGTATAAGATTTTAAAGGAATCCTGCACTAAGAGAAATATTAGTAATATTCCATATAGTGTAAGGTAAATAGTCAATATTGTAGTATAAGGTAAATAGTAAGAATTTACTACACCCTAAACCCA